AGTTTTTCTTGTTTACAAAGGGTCGAGGAACGTTAATAAGTTGTTAGGAACAAAACTATTTAAAGAATATCGTGATGTTGATCAATATCGGTAGGGCTGATTATGTGGCTGTTCAGGAACGCATCAAGGTCTTTGTGGCATAGTTCTCCTCTACCGTAAATCATTTAATAAAAGAACACAATCTACCCTCATTTACGTAAATTAAAATTCATTTATTTTTCACTAAAAGGGGACTGTGTTTCACATTTACATGATTTTAGATTGTTGCGGCAAAACGTGTATGTTTATTATGTATTTCTATACGAGTCTCTACATTTTCAGGTGTCATTTATCTATAAAAGACAGTACACCAATCCTGCTCCTTCCGGAGCTTGGTATGTTCTTTATCAGCACGAAGTAGCAGACCAATAAATTTCTTTGTGGACCATGGGATATTATCCATCTGTATGAGATAATAGACCAATATTTCTTTATGCGAGATAGCTATTCGTTGTAATGTATTTTTTTAGGATTGAACAGAACATATAATTGCTATTAATTCAACCTGCATTTTAACATTCACAAACAATTAAAATAGGTAATTTAGCCGATGAAGTTGAACAAAATATGCACTAACTTCATGACATTTCTATCCAAGTTAAACTTCTGGAAATGCAATATCATTAAATGGTTCTTCCATTATTCACAAAAAAATATGACCAATTAGGGATCTTATAACCAGTAAATACGGACATAGCAAACGTTACACATTTCAAAAATATGACCAATTAGGGATCTTATAACCAGTAAATACGGACATAGCAAACGTTACACATTTCAAAAATATGACCAATTAGGGATCTTATAACCAGTAAATATGGACATAGCAAACGTTACACATTTCAGTTGTATTTATTTCTCCAAATGAAAACAGTTACGTTAAATAAAATTATAATTGACGGCAAAACAATGCGCAGCAAGTTGATACTCGCAGTTAGGATGACCGTCCTACCTTGTATGCCTAACACCTGGTTGCTAGACTAAGGCGGACGATATTTCAGAGCTGAATACCTGAATTTGCAGGGAAGACTATTTGCAAATAAGTAGGAATAACAAATAATAATATACAAATCAAATAATTATCATTGGGTAAATTTTTATCAACCATATGTATTTGTAAATCCTTTTTAATATTCACTGATATGAACAAGGTATGAACCTGATATATTAATTATCGTTCGTTCACTACGTAAGTTCGAGAAGCAGGTGTAAGGGTGGGGTGGTGGTTGGCGATTGATGTCCAATAATTTTCTCTATAAACATCCGTATCACAGATTGATGATTGGTGAACTAAACATACATACATACATACATACATACATACATACATACATACATACATACATACATACATACATACATACATACATACATACATACATACATACATACATACATACATACATACATACATACATACATACATACACACACACACACACACACACACACACACACACACACACACACACACACATACATACATACATACATACATACATACATACATACATACATACATACATACATACATACATACATACATACATACATACATACATACATACATACATACATACATACATACATACATACATACATACATACATACATTAAAAATAACAAGGCATTTAAAGTGTTGGTATAAAGCAACTTTTACCGTTATATATTGGTTTGAGATTGATGAGATATTTTACTTGGTAATGTATCCTGTATATGATTATATATAATCATATATTCTTATACATCGGATACTGACGGTGGTCAATTTGATTGGGGTCAATTTGTTTATGGACCAATGAAACGACCAAGTATTTTGACCCCGGTGTGGAGTTTACCTTTGTTTGAACCAGGAGATGATTACTGACCTTGGCAAGAAAAAAAAAAAACAGTGTTTGCGACACGAAATGCGCCTAGCCCTTTTGGAAAATATCCGGGTTTTCGTCCTACACAAAATGGATCTATACCAATACGGTTCTTACACATAACTTTGTTTATCTCACATTATAGCACACCTGTAAATGTGGTACAACCTCAGAATTTGCGGTAGTAATCAATGACTTCCTGTCATACTGACACCACCGAGATATAATCAGTGTTTGAGTGACGTTGTGCAATTAATAATTTTATATTATTGATCGATAATTTTTTTAGTGTTTCAGAACGGTAGCAACAGTCGCGTATGGTAATGATCTGAGATCGTTAATAGTGTTTCTTTGTCAGAACTATTCTAGAGCTAGAGTCGTCAAGAAAACTCAGTACGCGGCAGCAAATATTACCATTTATGATCACAAATCCCAAACTACAAGACTGTTAATCATGTACTATTTTAATATCATATTTAAAAATTACAAATACAAATAAATCATGTCATTCCATGATTTCATGCAGTTATAGCTCCATCACATTCTCTACGAAAACAAAGATTTATTCCCCTTGGAACGCCTCTTACAAGAAAGGAATGCCTTGTTAAAAAATAATAAAAAACCGACTTCCTAGGGGTGGGTAGGACTAAGTACTATATGTCGTGTACATTGATTGCACGTGGTTATTTGGTACATTGAGCATTATGAACAATAATCCTTAAAATACCTCGACTTTCTAAGAAAAGCAATTTTCCTGTCCCGCACAGTAACCTAACATAAGTAGCAAATCTCTATTTTTAGAAGAATGAAACTGCACAAAGTACGTGTAAATTCATGCCCAGCCTGCCTATAAAGGGAACAATATTTGTGCCAATCGCAAAACTTTTGTTGTTGCTTGTTTGATCTTGTTTTTATTTTTTTTTAAAAAAAAATTTTTAACTTTATTTTCTTTTCTATTTTTATATCTCGATTTTTACGGTCCTAATTTTATTTAGATCACGTGCATTCTATTGTGTGCTGCGTGAACGTGTCTTACGCACGGCACAGTTAGCCTAAAGGTGTTAGTCTCTGGGATTTAACTCCTGCATATCAAGGTAATAAATGGCAGGTTATTCATTATGGCTTTAACGTCGCATATATTTTGGAAGCGTTAGACAGTTTTCGAGTGATTAAACGTGGCGTAAAAGATTTGACTGAAGAAACATGCATACATTCATCCTTGTGCTTCACTTTTCTACAGCGCTAAGAAGTGAAATTATGTTGCATGTACAAGGGAACAATTCTAGTACATAGCATATTTGTGTTGGCTGGGTACAAGAGTAAATTGTGGCCTATGCGACCCAATACAAACTGAGTATTTTCTTCTAGCTCTACTTTTATGTTTACCATAGTTTTTATAGTTAATTAGCTATTGTAAATAATCGGAAAGTAGTGTCAAATTTTTAAGACAAAAATTTAAAAATGTTTTACAAAATTAAAAATCTGGGATGAACGAGTTTAAAATGGTTTGAAGCAGTAGTATATACAAATAAAGCTACTTGATGTTATTGATCATATAACTCAGTTAAACAATCATATACCGTAGCACCTGCATTATGTTACAGTCATCGAATCAGTCAAGTACCACTAACTATAAACGAAGTAGCTGGTTATTTAATAGCATGTTGACACAAATAGTATATGAAAAATTAATGAAAAATTTAATCTTATATCCAGATGAAGGTTTTGCTTTTATTTTTACTAGTTTTGCTTTCATTTAAAAAATGTGATTTACCATGTTACATTTTGCATCAATGAAGTCCAGAGACTACACAATGTGCCTATTCAGAACATTTATATAATTTATTAACAAGCCTCTCCAATGTCTATATATAAAGATTGAGATATTTTAAAGACATTTTGAAATTTTAATTATATCAAAACGTTAAACATTATGATTTTTAATGGCATTAACACATTTTAAAGACATCAAGACATTTTTAAGACATTATGAAATTTTAAAGACATTAGGACATTTCAAAGACATGAAAGTTGAAAGACATTAAGACATTTTAAGGACATTATGAAATTTTAATGATATTAAGACATTCTAAAAACATTATGAAATTTTAATGGCATTAACACATTTTAAAGATTTTAAGACATTATGAGATTTTAAAGACATTAAGACATTTTAAAGACATTAAATTTTAAAGACATTATGACATTTTAAAGACATTATGAAATTTTAGTCATTAAAACATTTCAAAGACATTATGAAATTTTCAAGACATTTAGACATATTAATCCAATTCAAAGGCAGAATTAAATTGTATGGGACAGGACAGTTGAACACCTCTTCCTTTTTTAGTTAAAAAAAGTATACTTTACAGTGAATAACAAAGAAAGTTTGCCACATCAGCGATACGAACTAGACAATTCTCAAATTTCAAGGCTCGTACACATATTCTGGAGCTATCCATTTTATTGCTAATGTATTTTGACTTTGCCATAATGCAGCACATCATATACTATCGATGGGATATAATATTTAATTCGTGCAAATCATCAAAGACGAAACGACAAAACTAAAGTGTAGTATAACCTTTCATTCGAAAGATAATAATGAATTACATCGAAGTTGTAGACATAAGTAAGAGCGTCAGATGACTCTTGCGCGTATCTTGATTGAGAAGAAAAGACCACAAACAACATGAAAGTAGAAGTACCTGTTAGCATTATATTCGTACAGATCCGCAGAACATGTTAGGATTTTTTTCCCCTGATTATACGTTAACCCACATATCCCAGAAAGAGCCTGTTTATGTATCAATTCATGCAATGGATAAACCAATATTGTATGCAAGAGCTGTATCGTTGAAGGGGCCGGGGAGCGGGACTTGGGTGGTTATTCTGTAGAAATCGAAATTGGGGACGTGGATGTTTCAAGAGTGCGGTGTATCCCATGTGAATCCATCAATAAATCTGTTAATATGTTGTGTCGAACTGATCGTTTCTTATTGTCTGAATAGGTGAGGACGTATACCCTATTATAGCTACACTTAGTATAGTAGTAATTTTTGTACATATATTTGGTTTACAGCAATTAAAGACCGCTCAGGTGGCCCACTGGTTAGGGCGTTTGCCTCTTATGCGGGAGGTCGCCAGTTTAAACCCCAGCTGAATCATACCAAAGACTTATACAAAAGTGGTAATTGCAGCTTCCAAGCCACTTAGCATTAATAAGCTAGTATTGGGATTGGTCGGCCTGGTGCCAGGATAGTGTGACTGGGTGTGACATTATGCTATATACCTGTGGCATAATGCCCCAGTGCTAGACATCACTATAAATTGCCATCTGCAGTCATGAGAGAGAGAGAGAGAGAGAGAGAGAGAGAGAGAGAGAGAGAGAGAGAGAGAGAGAGAGAGAGAGAGAGAGAGAGAGAGAGAGAGAGAGAGAGAGAGAGAGAGAGAGAGAGTTGAAATCTCAAAGTGGATCTCAATTTGCTTTTATGGAACATTATAAATGTGACTTCTTTCACATGCCTTTGTTTCTCAAATTTCAATAGAAAGAAACAAATGCATTAGGTAGAATAATACAGTACATGTAAAAATTTTTAAGTAATATTTGTTGAAAATAGATGAGAGTAAAATGGGAAATTTACACTTACTGTATCAGCCCGCTAATCCTCGACCGCTTTTATCCTCAGTCTGAATTTACACGTATAAATGTGTTGATATTTATATTCACGACCTGGTCAGGTCTAGCCAATCCAGGAGAGCTTCAATCCTGGGTCCGAATTTATTAGAATAAAAGAGTATTGTGCCATTTTCCAAGGTGTAGCCAAGTGGAGATTCGAACCCAGGTCTGCGCGTAAACGGCACCCATCGCATTGCCTGCGCACACCACCCCATATTCCATCACGACTAAGCACACCTCACCAAAAATGATGTTGCTTAATCGGTGTTAAATGCACTCGTGTGTAGCAGACATACTGGCATGACGACCCTGATCTCTTTCATAGGAATCCGGAATGACTGTGTAGATAGATGAGAATTAATTATTGGCTAATAGACATTCGGTGTTGTCTATACGTACATTTCTCATGACCTGCATAGACATTCATTATTACCTACATGGACATTCTTTATTCCTTAAATTGACATTCTTATTACCTACTTATAATATTTCGTTTAAGCTACATACAAATTCCATATTACGTATGTTGACATTCCTTATTTCCTAAATATACATGCTTTATTACCTACATATACATTCCTTATTACCTACTTGGACACTGCTTATTACCTACATAGACATTCTTTATTACTTACATTGACATTCTTATTACCTACTTATACTATTACTTATTACCTACATGCAAATTCCTTATTACGTATGTTGACATTCGTTATTACTACATATATTCCTTATTACCTACATGGACACTGCTTATTACCTACATAGACATTCTTTATTACTTACCTTGACATTCTTATTACCTACTTATACTTACTTATTATCTACATGCAAATTCCATATTACGTATCTTGACATTCCTTATTACCTAAATAGACATGCTTTATTACCTACCTATATATTCCTTATTACCTACATGGACGGTACTTATTGCCTTCATGACCATTCCTCATTACGTACATCGATATTCCTTATTACCTGCATCAATACTTCTAGCTCTTTCTCCTATTTTTTTTTACTTGTTTAATATTTTGGAGGTGGTGGTGGGTGAAGGCTTGATTATTCTCTCTAGTCAAACAAAAGTTATAATAACTATATGGACTTTAGCTAACGAGTTTGTCTTCATTGTTATCAATGGGAACATAAAGACAACATGCTTTCTAAATAGCATGTTCTTCCTTCTTAGTTTCCAAAACATTGAATTTTAAATGATAAATAATGAAGATGTATGTACTTTTAATCTTAAGACCTATCCTTTTTTCATAAGTAATTATAATTGACTGGTTTTCTGCGTCTATTAATTGGATTATTGTTAAGGTCGTACAGTATACTACATTCTCACGTGCTTTGTGTTTTAATTTTAGCACCACACTTATAAAGTAAGTATGGTCGTGTTTATTAATACTAAAGAGGTTTACTCAATTTGCATTTTAACGAGTTATTTTAAGTTTTAATAAAATGTATCAAACCGTTTCTAATGCAAAACTATGAACTAAATCAGTTTCGTACAATAAGTAAATACTATGTTTTACATGGATTTTATACTTGCAAATTTATTACCTACATGGGCATTCCTTATTATCTACATAATTTATATAACGTTTTAATATCCCTGTTAACCACTGAAACAAACATATTCTTATGTGGCGCTCTCACTCTCTTGAAAAGCCATTTCCACCGCAATTTCATTTTTTTAAAAAGAAAATTCTCGCTTATTTATGCATTATGTCAAGCAATTCATTAACGATAAAATTGAGAAAACAGGATCTTTGAAGAATGTTCTTTTCTAATGAAATTCACAAAAGAATGGGATAATTTCTATTTTTGGCGAGCATAGGCGTGAACAAGATTGAAAACATTCTATTCGTTTCATACAATTTGGTTTAAAATGAACACAACAGTGAGATTATATTGATCACATGACGAAATATACTAGTCTGATGTTGAGCAAGACGTAAAAGAGTGCATATGTGCAGATGCCTAGGTCATTATGCACGCGTTTATATTGTTTTTGGAGAACTGGGCTGGCTTAAAACGAGATATTTGTCAGTCTGATTCCTATTATTGCCTGATTGTTATACGTTTTCTTCTAATACACCAACTTTAACAAAGATTTAATACTAAAATGCTTAGTCAAAAAAGCGTACAAAACTACATTGCAAATTCGAAATTTCTTTTGTTCACTAACTATAATTCTTTGTTCTTTGTTGACTATATCTATACTCTCAAAAAGTGCTTCTGCAAGGAAGGATGAGTATACGTTCTGACACATCCAAGGTTAATCTTATATATAATTGTTCTTATTTTTATTTATTTATTACTTATTTCTACAATTTTTATGTACTTTTGTGAGAGGGGTCGGTATAAGGAGAAGTTTTGTTTGTTTCATTTGCAACATACACAGTTGAGAGAATGATGACATACTTCTTCTATGCTACTTTCCTGCGTTTTGTTGAAATTTCTTCTTATGTGATAATTATGGAAACTATGAGCTATCTGAAGTAGACTGCTGATGAAAATGGACCCTCCCTTATGGTAGAAAAATTAACCTGAACTACTCTAAAAGTACAATAACTTTAGCAATTATTAGAAAAAGGAAAATGAATTTTTACCCAGTAGGTAATTCCAGCTTCTAAATAAAAGACTTATAAAAAACTACACCCATCAACTATACACCCAACAACTATACACCCATCAATTATACACCCATCAACTATACAAGCATCAGTTATACACCAAAATAAAGGGAATCAAAAGTTAATTTAACACAACCTAGCATTTACAAGGCCGTTTTAAATTATACAGGATAACAAGTCTGGAATACACGGGAACATATTTTTCTTTACGACGAAACCTTTTGGAAAGAACTGGAAAGGGTGATATTGTATCGAGCAATCAATCTTCTCTGCACCTTGATCCAATCAACCATAAATACATGCTGCCCTAATCAATCTTCAATCTTCTCTGCACCTTGATCCAATCAACCATAATTACACGCTGCCCTACTCGTAAACTGCTCAAGTGGTATAGAAAGTACCTGAAAGTACCTGAGCTGCATCAAAGGCATGTAAACGAAGAAACACATTTTTTTCTCATTCTTATGTAATATTTATTCCAGTAAATTGAGTAATATGCTAACATATATTCAATAATATAAGACTATCATGTAAAGGTGCTTTCAAAAGTGTGTGTTTTAATTATTTATATGTTGTTTTAAAATGATAGCTAATGTAATTGCCGCAAATGATATGCACCATGTAAGTATCTACCCTATTTACCATGGCACAAAACAACATGACTGCTAAAATGACCCCAGAATTGGCTGCTCAGAGAAGTAGACTTAACCTACCTAGACTGGGTAACTAATACAATTGTTTAAAAAGTCCAGACTTTCTTGGACATTTACATATTCCATTAGCAATGACAACAAGACATTTGATTTAAAATTGAACTTTTTAAAATTCAATGTGAAAAAGAAAAATTCGGTTATTGTTGGAATCTAATAGAGCATATAGTTTCTTACACCGAACTGCTCTACAGTGATGTAGGTAAATACGGTCACCACATCCACCACTTAGAACATCCTCGACTCTTTCGGAAAAGATTCGACTTGACTCTCTAAAAGAGACTCACGGTTAATGGTAGCGATACTTCTAACACTGGTACGTTTCTGAAGAACGAACATTTGGTTAGATATGCATAAAACAGATTATTATAAAATGTTAGGAGTTGAAAATAACATTCAGCGACATTTAAACTATCTATAAAATACCTGAACTTTAACTTTATTATTATTCTGGCAACCTTTTTTGCAATGAACATGAAGATGAAAATGAAGAAGAAATTCTTTGATTTCATTATCCTTAAATTATTGCTTACATAGCTGTTAGTGATGATTCGCCACGTAGTCAGTGCGAGGTCAATTAAGTCATTATGACGTAATAACATCTACGGTCGTAAAGGTAGTTCAAAATGGAAAATATTTAAATCCGAAATTGTTTCCGGCAAGCGATGGAAAATGCATATATCTTGATTGAGCCTGCACATAAATTTTATCCAACCACCCGTCGATTTCATACAAAGCATTGTTTTGATTTGAGAATTAAATTTTGGAGAAACGTTAACAAGAAAGGTGTTTGAGCTGCAGATTAATGTTATATTTTCAATAGTTTCCGTTACATCTAGCAAATATTACTAAATATTAAGTAAAAAACAAGAGCAGGCGTTTGTGCCTAAAGGTTACAGATAACAATTTGTGGTTACAGTGGCGTTTAACGAAAGTTTGTACCATCCGGAGACAAGTTGGCTTTCTGCATTTGCTGTGCATGACGTGATGACCTTTATAAAACTAATCACATGGGTCAAGTATGCGCTTTGCTCATTTTAAGTTAAATATGCATTGATCTTTTAAAATGTAACACTAATTTTCTTCAACAAAAGTCTATTCAATCCTGATTGTTGAATGCTCTGCACCTTAAATGTCAC